GTGTGTGTGTGTGTGTGTGTGTGTGTGTGTGTGTGTGTGTGTGTGGATTGAAGGAGACAAAGATCGGACTCACCCCGCCGTAGACTCCGTGAGAAGCGCTCCGCAGGCAGCCTGCTCCGTCTGCATGCTTCAGCTCCGGCTCTGACTGAAAGACTGGAGTTATGAATGAAACCACACGCGATTGGACACACCCACCGCCCGCTCCTGGCGCACCACGTGACCCGGCTGGGACGATGATGCTACTGGTGGCTGAGGCAGTCGTGACACAAGCCATGCCGATGATGATGATGATGATGATGATGATGATGATGATGATGATGATGATGATGATGATGATGATGATGATGATGATGATGATGATGATGTGGGAAGCTGATGAAGAAAACCCTGATCTTCATTCACAGCCTCATGAATGGCAGCTGCTGACAGAGCAGAGCGGACTTTCAGCAGAGGAGAGGAAACACGCAATTCATGTTTTAAAATGAATAAATGTTACATTGAGTCCAGTCTGCTGAGCTGAACCTGCCTCTGGTTCGTTGTTGTTGTGAGAAGGAGACGCAGACAGACGGAGGGCTGCGGGATAACTGTGTGTAGTTCCATGTTCATCCACCAGGTGGCAGCATCGCCTCGCTGTTTATTGTGCAGACAGGGAATCATGGTTTCTTCACACAGTTCTTATTCTGCACTTGACTTAATATTTTTCACCCAACTCCTATTCTGAAAAAGTTTTTGCTCATTGCATAAAATGTCAACAAAAACAGATGGCAACGATGTGCAAATCTCTTAAATCCATATTAAATATATGAAATATGCGATCAATCAATCATTGTTTATTTATTGGGCCCTTTCCGACAGCCAAAAGGTGCACAGAGTGCTTCAAAAAAACAAAAGTTTAAAACAAACAATAAAAAAACAATACAAGAATACATGAGAGTCACCACACGTTGCAGTCTAAATAAAAAGACTTTWAGATTCAATTTTCAAAAAGGTCCAAATCATAGCTGGAGCTCGAGTCCTGAGTTTGTTCCACAGTCTGGATGCCGTATCCAAAAAGGCTCGGTCGCCTCAACATTTGGATTTTGGGACAAACAGTCAAGAGGTTTGCTTATACTCACAAGCTACAAGATCAGCTGAATAACTCTGTATAAAAATGCAACAATTTTTAGAAAAAAAAATTCATTTCATGGCAGCAACACATCACAAAAGTTGAGAAAGCACCACCATGTTTATCACTGTGAAGCTTCATCTTTGTTACAACAGTCTGCAAACCTCTTGGTGGAGAATACCGGTCCCTTCTTGTCTGATGTAGCGAGCTGTTCAACATTTCATTTCATGTGGCAACCTACATTTTAAATTGGTCAGAGGTCTGGACTGCAGGCAGACCAGTTCAGTAACTGGACTCTTCTACAAAATCATGCTGTTGTAATGTGTTGTCTTGTTTAAACAAGAACTTTCCTGAAAGAAAAATGTCTGGATGCATGTCTTGTTTAAATTCTGTATTTTTCTGCGCCGGTGCTTTTTCAGAAGCCCTCCATGATAGAGGCACTAATGCACCCCCATACCATCAGAGAGGCAGGCTTTCAAATTGTGCATAACAGGCCAAATGTTCCCTCCTCTTAGTGTGGAGGCTGTAGYATTGTGATTTTCAAAACAAATTCCTTTTTTAAACATTAATATGTTTCTGTTCAGTTATGGTTTTATGAGATTTGAACTTTTTAAAAATTATTGTGGCACAACTTTTTTATTAAAAGAATCTGCAAGGATTAATGTTCCTTTGGAGCGTTGTTTGATTTGGATTAGTCTCAGACTGTTTTAATTTTTCCAGGCTTCTCTTTTTTCAACTATAAGAGGGAACAAAGTTTTATTTCTCCTCACATTTTGTTCTGCAGTACCCTCTTCATCACAAGCTTTCCCCACAACGATCACACGACTGAGGATAATAAGTCGACAAGAGCTCCAAGGCTACATCGTGTTTTATTACTATGAACTTTCTATGTAGATTTATTCCTTTCACAGAAGTTGTTCCTTTGAAACAAATGAGATTCATAGAAGCTCGTGGTTTGTGTTGCTTAGTTTATTTAAGAGAAATCCTTGTTTTCGTTTGGGAACAAGTTCAACCAGTTTCTGGTTATGGCTGTGGTGAGTGGATGGATAAAGAACCCACAGTGTTTAGGAAATGAACAGCTTGTTCTGGTTTTGTTTATTTGTTTTGTTTCTTCTATTTTTGATGCCCAYATTTCCAAATATGGGCATCAGACTTTTCATGTTCTGGTTATAGACGTCAGCTGATATTTTGCAATGAAATAGTTTTGGAGTTCTGAGTTATATTTTCATGTTCATGTCAGGAAATGAAACAACTCAGAGATCAGTGAAGAGCTACAATTACATGTTTAATCAGATTATGAACTATTCAGAACAAATAATTTGATCCCTGCATATTTAAGGCATGACACGACTGAAAGCTTTGGGAAATGATGCCAGGAGGGAGAGAGCGAGGGGACAGGGGTGGGAGGAACATGAAAGAGAGCGTGAGCATCCTCTGTGTGTGTGTGTGTGTGTGTGTTTTTAAGTGTGTGTGCTGGCCATCCTTGACGTCAGAGCTGCGTCTGTGCATGCTCTGAAGAGCAGGACATCCTGTGGAATTGTTCTCGCCGAGGCTCGAAGAATGCAAAGCAGAGGCCTCTCCCTTCTCGCTCAGCTCAGCGAAAAGCGACAGAGAAAAAAAAAACCCACCTCAAAGACAAGTTCTCTAAGAAAACATCACGGGGTCACAGAGGTTAGACCGTCGCAGGAGGGAGGATTTTCAACAAATACTTGAGTGAAATATGCTCTTTAAATGAGATTTTTGTTTTCAGRTAGTCAGTTGCTGTTGAAGAATCCTATTTAAAAAAGGAGAAAATGGGAATTAAAGCAGTAAAACAGAGAAAGGAACCTAAAAGATGCTGATAAAAGAGAAAGCAGAGATCATGGCGGTTCCTCCTCTGTCGATCATAGCAGATGTCTGAGGTCGCCTTCAACATCCTGATTAAAGATCTAAAACTAACTTGACATTTGATGAAATCCCTCAAACAGCTGAGATAATTGCAGTGATGCTCACACCCAGCTGTATTAGTCACCTGTGAGAGAGGACTGAGCTTGTTTGTGTGAAATGAGACAGCGAAACATCAGGATGCTTCCCACAGGGAGTGTCGCCAAAAACTGAAACCCTGAATTTGATTCCACTTTAGTACAAGGGGCAACAATGTAAATCCTTGTGTGCCGGTCTGTTAGCARAATATATCATGAAGCAGTGGATGGATTGCCATAAGGCTCTCAAAAAACAATCATTGGATGAACATCTGCAGCTGTTCAAGTTCTGGAGATGACCTCATCCAAGATGGCCGCCACAGCTAATCAACCAYAGAAATTCTRTTAMTGGCGATAACTCKGACAKTTTTATGAAAACTGAGCTCAAATTTGGCGTGAGAGTRACTGAGAGTCATCYTCAACACAKACTCTGAGGGCGAACTGATCGCWTTATATCTCACTGAAATTTTACACAACTTTGTTGATAGGTTTGACCGAAACGCATACAATTACATAATTTTTCTGTTACCATAAGATGGCTTTAAATTAAAACTCTGACATGAAAGGAGGTGGTGTGGGATGAGATTTAATTTTAGGAATAATTTTCAAGCCCATAGTGTATCTGTGATTTTTTTTTAATAAGAAAGTGGGAAGATTTGTAAATGAAAAACAAATAATGAGGTTAAATTTTAAAAYACTCCCAAAAATGATAACACTCTTTTGTATCAATAAGAAAAATATTTTGTTGTTGCCACATCCTGTACAAATCTTGCGTTATTTGCTTTGCATCACTTGTGAATGGTGAGTACACAACATGCCCAGGGTGGAGACAAGCTCCTCTGATTGGACGAGCCGGTCCCCTACAGTCTTGTGGCTCTCGCTGATTGGCTGCGCGTCTCACGGGGGGCGAGGCTTGTTCTCCTGATGGGGCTGGTGTATTTTTAGCTTGGAGTAGAGCTTTTTCTGTCACACTGAGAAACAGCAGCTGTGACTGAGTTTGAAGGATGAAGCAAGAAGAGGAACAAAAAGAAATGAATAAATAAAAAATAGAGGGGGAACACCTGAATCTGATTTTAAAATATTTAACAATCAGGAAGTCTGAATGGAGCAGCAGGGTTTCTGTGGTTTCCCTCCTCTCCAGGTTGCAGAAGAGGCTGGACCCTGCATCGGTCTGTCCATCACTACAACCACAGGCAGCCCAGTGGAGCTCACTGTCCCCCGAGGAGAGACCGAGGACAGCCTGAGGACACGGATCTCCCAAAAACTCAGCCTGCAAACAGACAGAATGGTCCTGGTGCACAAAGACAGGTGAGACATATCAGACTGTGCATCTTGACTTGTTTCTCAGAGGAAATTAGATTAAACTGAACTGTTTTCATTGAATAATAAACGATAGGCTCCTGACTGCAGGGAAGCTGCTGGACCAGGGTGTCAGAGACGGCAGCAGGCTGACTCTGGTTCCTGCCATTGAAACAGGTTTAGTGGTGAGTTTCTGCRCGTCCTGTACTTATCATGAAAATAAACAAAACAAAAATGCAATCAGACTTGCAAAACGTTTATTCAAATTTGTTCTACTGCAGTGTTTGAATCCCAAGGAGAGGAAGATAATGGACATGTTGGAAAGTTTAACAGAAACCCAGGTAAGAGTTTTGTTTGTTTCTGATCTTTATTTATGGCTGTATCATGTAAAYCGATCATTCTAAACAGAGCTGAGGGGCATTTTTCAGCTATTTAGACCAAATGTTTTATGTTATATTAGAAAATGTTTTTAACTCGTGGAGGAAATATAGTTTTCTGAATTTAAAATTAGCACAGACACTGAAGAAAGTCCCACAGAGTTTTGTTACAGCTGAAAAGAAATAATTTCAGACATTTTTGCTTTACATTATGTTTGATGTCAACAAAAGTTAATATCATTTTAGTGTGAAGCCTGATTCATATTGTTCTGCTTACTGAGCTCTTTTACTTATCAAAACATTCAGCTCATTCAGGAAACTGATGAAAAAGGCCTTTTGTTTTTTTGTAACTTGATTATTTATTTATAAATTTTTTCTCCATAATAACACATTAATGTCTCTTATTTCCTTCAGTTTGCATTTTTCTCCTTTTTGCTGTTGTTTTGTTAGATTTTATCTATCATTTTGCTACTTTTGACTTTCAATTTAGCTTTTTTCTTTTTGCTTCTTTAAACTGTCAGTTTTGTTTTTGTTTTTTTAGTTTTTAACATCCATATTGCTTTTTTAAATTTCCCCTTGCTTACTTTACCTTTTAGCTAGTGTTTGGCTTCTTTTAGCCAGCATTTTACCTCTTTTAGCTTGTGTGCTTCATAAGTTTCACTACTGTTTGGCTTTAACTTTAACTCTGAACTTTTAGCTAGTATGTCCTTATTTCAGCTTTCTTATAGTGTTTTGCTACTTTTGGCATTTTCCTTATTTTATCTTTTAGCTAGTGTTTTAGCTAGTTTTTGTTTTATTTAACAATTCACTTCCAGCTTTTTTGGTAAATTTCAGCAGTTTTTCAGCTCTCACATTGCACTTTTGCCTAAAATGTRTTTCTTTACTTGTTCAAATTATTTMTAATGTAATATGAACCRATGTAAAACCACTGAAGTGACAATTTAGATACTTTAAAGCAAGGCTCTTTGGGAAAGGTGTGAAAAATAAATATCTTACCTGTCATAGATATCATTTGGACAGTATCCGTTTGGAGAAGTAACATTTATGTTTGACCAGGGTAATAAATTAAAAACCAGTCAAAGTGGATTGCTGCCATTTTTATTTCAGTCACAAACATTTCTTTTCTTTTCATGTAAATGTTATAAACTTGTACACTGTTGAAAGATAGTAGATAATTAGGCGTGTTTGTTTACCTTAATACACGTTCGTAACCAGATAGACAATACACCAATAGTTGAATGTTTGAATGTGAAAAGAGTTAAACAACACCAGCGCTGGACTGAGAAGCAGGATTCATTAGCTCTGTAGCTTGTCTCTGCCTTCAGCTCTGAACCAGGGAACAAGATTAATTTAAAACCTTCTTCCAGACCTGACTCCACCTATTGTCATTGCATCATCTAAAAGGGCCACCCAACCTGGAGCCAGGACCTTGTACAGATTTTCTTCCTTRTTGTAAAAACAATGGATCACCTAGGTGTTGGAAGTGAATCAGGCATGTATCTTATCTATATGTACCGTCCGCTCTGAGTAACCATCTGTGACAGCCACTCAGACCAGTCTGTACATAAAATCACCAGTTTAATCACAAAATATTCACACAGTGGTTTACAAAACAATATTATGTTTCACCTAAGAAAAGACTATAAAATGTGCAGTGCTTTTTAAAAGTCAGTAGTAAACAAACCAATAAATTTATTCACTGTCATTATATTATGCATATTAGTTCTGTGAGTATTACAGCCAGCTGCTGATGCTGCTAGCAAATAACCAAATACAATAAATCTATAAAATAAAGATGTGACACTGGAGACGATGTTAATAGAGTTCATTTGAACCATTATAAATATTTTAGACTGGAGTTATTTTCAGATGGCGCTGTGGTCCCATCAATCATCAATCCTGTCAGATTTAAACTCTATTTCTCCAAACTGAGGATGTTCAAATTGTTATCTACAACAGGTAAGATGTTAACTGTTCCTAAGCTTTCAACAGAACCCCGTCTCAAAAGTAAATAATCATTTCCAGCCATTAGGGGTAATTTAACAGGAAACGCAATAAATCTTTCTTTACCAGAAGCTGTCCCTGTGTTCCCACCACCAGCCTCCACATTAACCAGCTGACATCTGAAGAAGGGTTCAAACTCTCGTGTGCTGTTTTTCCCTGACACTCTTTAGATTGACGACTTCCTGTCGGGACGCTCACCCCTGACCTTCAGCGTTGGGAGCGGTGCCCACACGATGTGCGTGCAGCTGCAGCTGTCGCAGGACATGAAGACGCTACAGGAGGATGAGGACAGCCGCACGCCTCAAACCAGCCGGTGCACGTCGGACAGCCCTGACTCTTCCTGCTCGGGACCCTTTACCCCGCAGACCTCCTCCCCATCCTCCCTCTCCAGACCCTCACCCCACTGCAACCCACACAGACCCAGGACTTCCTTTAAGTCGCCCAAAAGCGTCCCTCCTGGGAGCTGTCCCTCATCCCCTCCACGTTTTGTCCAACCGCCACAACCTGTCTGTTCAGCCAAGCCCACCGGCTCCACTGCAGACCCCCTCACAGAGGTCAGACACTGAACTGTTGACAGAACCAGAGCTCATATATTCACCACCGTTCCTCATCGAGGCTGCTTTGTTTTGTTCCAGGCTGACCTGTCGAAGCAGCCGGGAGCAGTCATTGAAAGCTTTGTGACCCACTCTCCTGGAGTCCTCTCTGGGACTTTTTCTGGTGAGTCTCTCCCTCTGTGATTTTTACAAAATAAACAGATCCATAATCTCTTATTTTCTTATTTGGTATTCATTTCCACTCTTATGCCGACGACACTCAACTCTACGTTTCAACAAAACCGAACTCCACCTTCTCATCCTCCACTCTTACCGACTGCCTCAGTGAGGTCAATAATAATTTCCTCCAACTAAACAATAACAAAACTGAACTCCTCTTTGTTGGACAGAAAACACCATTTCCAAATCCAGCATCTTAGCTTCACTCTTAACAACTCCGTTTTTTCCCCCTCACCTCAGGTCAAGAACCTCGGTGTCATATTTGACACCACACTCTCTTTCACATCCCACATTAACAACGTGACTCGATCTGCATACTTTCATCTTCGCAACATTAATCGTCTCCGTCCTTCACTCACTCCCCGCTCCACTGCCATCCCTGTACACATAGTAGCATCCAGGATCGACTACTGCAACTCYSTACTGTTTGGCCTCCCCAATAAATCTCTTCACAAACTACAGATGGTTCAGAACTCAGCAGCCTGTGTAATCATTCAAACCTCATCCTCTGCCCACATCACTCCAGTCCTACAACAGCTCCACTGGCTCCCAGTTAAATCCCGCATCATCTTTAAAATTATCCTACACACCTTTCAGCCGCTCTGCTCCGCAGCTCTGGAACTCACTACCCCTTGGATTACGCAATACCACCTTTCTCTCCCTGTTTAAAAGACTGCCCTGAAGACACCTCTTTTCAAATTAGCCTACAACTGTTAACTCCGATCTTCAATATATGTCTGTTTTTGTTGTCCACACTTCGATGTTTCTCCCCCACAACCCTATTGTTCAATTTGTCTGCATTATTGTATTTTATTATATGATTGTTCTGTACTCCACATTTCTGTTTCTCCCACACTACCCTTATCATTATATGTATCTACAGTTTTTTTCCCTTCATTTTACTTTTTTCTATTGTACAGCATCCTTGGGCATCCTGAAAGGCRCTTTATAAATAAAATGCATTATTATTATTATTAGTATTATTATTATAGATCAAAATAAAAGTTTTTTTAAGCATCTTTTTCTTCTACCAGGGACCCTGGCTTCTTGTGGTCAGAACCACATCCACCATCCTCGTCGTGGCATTTCCATCATTCTCCAAATCCTGAACGACCTCCTCAGAGCTGCCTACCACCACCAGGAGGCTTCAACTCCCCCTCCTCTTCATCGCTGCACTACCTCAAAACTACCATTCAGCCACCTCCCACCGAAGGACAGACCACCACGACCCCAGAGGACCGGACTCCGAGGTGAGAGTACTTGCAAACTGCAAAGTGACTGAATTAACGCATCCTTTATCGACATAAAATGCTAAATTATGTCTTGGCTTCCACTAAACATGTTCACTGATGCACCTCTGCTGTAGGAGACAAGAGACAGCTGCTGCCTTCCTCCTCCTCCTCCTCCTCCTCAGAGGAAAATAAATCTCTGCAGGGGAAGTTAGAGCGTCTCCAGCTGCTGATGCATCAGAGGCGTCTCCGCAGGCAGACCCGGAGGTGTTCATACCTTCACAAAGCCACTCGTCCAAACCTGCAGCGGCACAATTGTTCCTAACGCCTCACAGGGAACGGATGCAGACTCGACAGAAAGACCCCCCAGACAAGAAAAGAGTCTTGCGTCTCTGGACTGAGCTGGAGTCACGCTGTAGCACCAATAGAAGAAGAAGCTCCTTCCAGGTATCTTCTGGTTGCTTGTCCCGGATGCACTGAGGTGTAATGAATGTACGCACATTAACTGTAGCTGATAGGTGCTGCTTTATGCCAATCACACTGTAATTTTATCTCCCGCTGCTGAAAGGTGGGCAGTTTTGCCGACCTGTCTGTTCGTCTTGTAGCAAAATACAGTATCTCATGAACCACTGGACTAACTTTTGTGAAACTCACAGAAACCAACAAGGTGTACAGTCAATTCAGTTGCAACACAAAAACGTCTAAGTCGGTTAATTCAACAAACATCAAGCCAAAATTTGACATGGCAGCAGCTGAAAGTTACAGCACATAGTGTGAATTAATCACTTACTTTGTTCAACTGTCAGCTAAAAGCCAAGAGATCAGAAACATTTTTAAGTGCATCATCAGGTTTTCTCTCTTGAATGTAGCATGAGTTTCCTCAAAGAATCTGCTTCTGCTGTAAAAGAAAAACATTGTGTGTGTGTGTGTGTGTGTGTG